CCCCCCCCCCCCCAAAGGGAACGTTTGAAACGACCCTCCTCCTCCACCCTCCTCCTCATTCCTACTCCTCCTCCTTCCTCCCCCCCCTTTCCTCCCTCCTCCCCCTCCTCCTCCTCCTCCTCACCTCTTCCTCCTCCTCTCTCCAATCCTCCTACCCCTTCTTCTCCCTCCTCTCCTCCTCCTCCTCCTCCTCCTCCTCCTCCTGATCCTCGTGTCAGGAACCAACGCCGGGTTCGACACGACACGAAGCCGCCGTACGTAGTCCCGGCCCCGCTGGGGTTCTCGAGGCGGTTGGCCGGGACGCTGGCGTCGGGACGTCGTCCCAGAAGCGTGGCGCATCGAGGGCAGAGCTCCCTTGGGGATGCCCTCTGTCCTGCCCGACGCTCCAGCGAGGTCGACAAAGGGATCGATTGATGGGCAAGTTTCCACCACCACTACCATATCTAGGACGGGGGAGAGGTAGGATTAGGAGGTGCTCCTCCTCCTCCTCCTCCTCCTCCTCCTCCTCCTCCTCCTCCCTCCTCCTCCTCCTCCTCCTCCTCCTCCTCTTCCTCCTCCTAACTATTGTAGCGGTGGTGGAAAATGGGCCCATCATCGCTTCGTCGCGCATTCGCGCCGCGAATGGCAGCTGGCAGAGGGCACCTCTGCCCCGCCCGAAGCTGCGCCTGCGGCCGCTCTCGGCGGCGGCCTCGGCGGCCCTCGCCACGGCCCCCGCGGCTGCGCCGCGGCGGCTGTGGCTCGCCCGAGCCTGCCCCAGAGGGCCCCAGAGAGCCCCCAGCGCCCGCGCTGGCTGGCGACCCGCCCGCGGGGTCGGCGAGAGAGAGAGAGAGAGAGAGAGCGGGGCCCGCGCAGGGGCCTCGCTTCCCTCCCCCGCCGCGGGGGGGGGGGGGGGGGGGTCGCTTGCCGCAGTGGCGGGGCACGGGCTCGCGCTCCGAGGGCGCGGGGCCGCTTCCAGGGGCTTCGTCGCCTCGGCGGGCGCCACCTCCACGGCGCGGCCCTTAGGAGCGCCGCTCCTTCGCCGCCTCGGCGGCGGGGTGCGGGCGATCCCCGTCTGCTTCTGCCGGGGGGGGCGGGGTGCGCTTCTGCCCCTGCTTCAGCAGTGGAGCCTTCGGAGGCCCTCTTCGAGTGGACCCTTCGGGCCGCTCTTGGGGCCGAAGTGGCCCCTGGTCGGCGGCGCGGCGTCTCTCGGAGCTGCGAGCGAGGTGTGCAGGAGTCTTGCTGGTCCGGGTGGCTGAATTGAGGTCTCTTGGCTCCCGGAGACACCTTGCCCCCCCCCTCTCTCGCGTGCCCTACGGCGAGCGGGCGCGCGCGATGGAGGCTCACTTACGTCGAAGGAAGAAGAAAACGGCAGAAGCATCAACTTTTGGCGGACCTCCAGAAGCTTATGCTCATGCCGCTCTTTCTGCCTCAACGTCGAGAGAGCCACCTGCGACGCTGTCCTGCCGCAGCAGCGTGCGGGGGGCGTGCCTGTGGCCCGTCGCGCCCTCCCCCGCGGCGGGCGAGGGACAACCACGCAGAGCTGAGGCGAGGCCACGGAGCTCGAGCTCCAAACGCGCACCTGCACACCTTCGGGGCTACGGCCCCCCCGCCGCCGCCCTCGCGGGGCGCGGCCGCTCCCGGCCGCGGCGTCGGCGTCCGTCCGACGGGGCGGCCCCCGAGGGCTCCCCTGGCCTCGGCGGCGCCCCCCCGAATCCCCCCGAGCGGGGGCCGCGGGCCGCCTGGCGGCGTGCTCGTGGGCTTCTGCGAGCCGCACCGCTCCCGTGGCCTGTGCGCGCCGAGGCCGCCGACGGCGCCGGCCCTCTCGCCGTCAGGGCTCTGCCTGGCACGGGGCCCTGCCCCCAGTGCTCGGATCCTGTGGCAGCGGAGTGTTGAGCTCACAAGAGAATGGCCTCCGGCCAGTGTCGCCGATCCGGGGGGCTCCGGAGTCGGTGATCTTCGCGGCTCTGTGGCTTCCTCCCTCCTCGACTCTTCCGGCCCTCGTTCCTCTCCGCTGGGGGGGTGCCGGCCCTTTCGAGGTCTCGGATTTTTTGGCCGCATCTCGGGGACCCACGGTTCCCACAGGTCCCACAGGTCCCTCAGGCGTCGCAGGCCTCACAGGCCCCACGCGCCACAGGTGTCCCCCAGGTCGCACAAGTCCCACAGGTCCCACAGGTTTGAAACCGGTGGCCAGCATTTGAACCTGTACCCTCACACATGTCTTGTTTCAACAATTCATGCCTGGGTTGTTGGGCAACACCCACAGCTCCCACCTGCCTCGCTGTCAGGTCCCGCAGGTCGCCTCTGCTGCTGCTGGGATGCTCTGCTGCGGCAGTGGAGCTCTCCAGGTCGGCTGTGACACGCGCCCGCGGATGGAACAACATCGGCGCAAGGAGAAGGCATGGGGGGGACAGGATGTCCGATGCAGCACGAGCGCAGCTGGCTCGTCATCCTCCGCTCTCCTCCCTCCTCTGTCCCCCTCCTCGTCCAGCCGCTCCTCGTCTTGCCCCCCCCCCCCCCTCAGGACAACTGCCAGTGGCGGAGCCGGCCCGAGCTGCCCTCGGTGTCCGGCGTGGGCTTCACCAACTGCAGGAACAATTGCTACCTCAATGCCGTCCGCCGGGCTCGTCCAACCGCGCGCCTGCTCGGGCAGGGCCAGCGGGAGGAAGATCTAGGATCCTGGTTACCTTTTGTCATAGTTTTTTCCAGCCACCCTGTGGTGCTGGGTCTTCGTTTCGAAAAGCACTACCCCGCATCTCACTCCTAACTCCTCCCCCTCTTTGACTCTGCCCTCCGCATGTCCATGTCCGCACACCGCTGACACGTCTCGCGGTCCCATACAGATGTCGGAAACAGTTAAGCAACACTCACGCGTAACAGAAGGTTTGAACTTCCCCCCACTTCCCCAATAACGCAATGTTGGATTCGGATCATCGGAGTTTAGTGTCGGACCAGTGCTGCGTTAAAATGCCAAATTTGAAGTGCGGGGGGAGGGGGGGGTGTTGCAAATTTCTTCCTTCGGCGGCCTCAAGCGGTCGTGCGAACGCGTTCTGCTGGATGCACGGCTTGCTGCGGCTGTGCGGGGTGGGTGGGCCTGGGGGAGCCTAGCCTCTGTGGAGGCCTCCAGGGCCCTCCTGTGGTGTGGAGGCGTCTTGGCGAGGATGTCCACGTCGTGCTAGGAGGAGGAGGAGGAGGAGGAGGAGGAGGAGGAGGAGGAGGAGGAGGAGGAGGAGGAGGAGGAGGAGGAGGAGGAGGAGGAGGAGGAGGAGGAGGAGGAGGAGGAGGGGAGGAGGAGGAGGAGGAGGAGGAGGAGGAGGAGGAGGAGGAACCAGCGGGCGGGCAGCGGCATGCCCTGCGCAGGCTGCCTGGGTGACCCCCTCGGGGCGGAGCTATGCCGAGCGCCTGCCTCGCCAATCCGCGCGCGGCCCGGCTTTCTCTTCTCGCTCGAGCTGCTTCTGGAGGGGGGGGGGGCTGGGCGCGGAGCAGGGCGAGGCGCCGAGCCCACTCCTTGCCCGTGGTGGCCGTTACTCATCCCTCCTCCCGCTTCCTCTTTTCTTTTTTGGTTGTAGATACATATATATATGTGTATCCACATATATGCATATATATATATATATTCACATATATATATATATGTATATATATATATGTATATGATTATGTATGTATGCATATATACCATTTTATTATTATTATTCGTATTATCATTATTATTATTACTATTATTATTAGTATTATTATTATAATGTATATGTATATATATATATATTCTAAAGTAAGATCGAAAGCACACACAAAACAATCCACATATATACATACATATATATATATATATATCATTATTATTATAATATACGTTCGGCAAGCTCCAATGACTAAGCTTGTAGTGTCTGGCACTGGCAAACAAACATCAAGGTACGCAATCTTCTCCTTCTCCTTCTCCTTCTCCTTCTCCTTCTCCTTCTCCTTCTCCTTCTCCCCCTCCTTCTCCTTCTCCTTCTCCTTCTCCTTCTCCTTCTCCTTCTCCTTCTCCTTCTCCTTCTCCTTCTCCTTCTCCTTCTCCTTCTCCTTCTACTTCTCCTTCTCCTTCTCCTTCTCCTTCTCCTTCTCCTTCTCCTTCTCCTTCTCCTTCTCCTTCTCCTTCTCCTTCTCCTTCTCCTTCTCCTTCTCCTTCTCCTTCTCCTTCTCCTTCTCCTTCTCCTTCTCCTTCTCCTTCTCCTTCTCTTCCCTTCTCCTTCTCCTCTCCTTTCTCCTCTCCTCCTTCTCCTTTCTCCTTCTCCTTCTCTTCTCCTTCTCCTTCTCCCTCTTTCCTCTTTTTCCTCTTCCTCTTCCTCTCCCTCTCCCTCTCCCTCTCCCTCTCCCTCTCCCTCTCCCCTCTCCCTTCCCCTCTCCCTCTCCCTCTCCCTCTCTCCCTTTCCTTCTCCTTCTCCTTCTCCTTCTCCTTCTCCTTCTCCTCCCTCTTCTCCTTTCCTTTCCTTTCTCCTTCTCCTTCCCTTCCTTCTCCTTCTCCTTCTCCTTCTCTTCCCCTTCTCCTTCGCCTTCTCCTTCTCCCTCCTCCCTCCTTCTCCTTCTCCTTCTCCTTCTCCTTCCCTTCTCCTTCTCCTTCTCCTTCTCCTTCTCCTCTCCTTGTCCTTCTCCTTCTCCGTCTCCTTCTCCTTCTCCTTCTCCTTCTCCTTCTCCTTCTCCTTCTCCTTCTCCATTCTCCTTCTCCTCTCCTCTCCTTCTCTTCTCCTTCTCTTCTCCTTTCCTTCTTCTTCTCCTTTTCCTTTCCTTCTTCTCCTTTTCCTTTCCTTCTACTTCTCCTTCTCCTTCTCCTTCTCCTTCTCCTTCTCCTTCTCCTTCTCCTTCTCCTTCTCCTTCTCCTTCTCCTTCTCCTTCTCCTTCTCCTTCTCCTTCTCCTTCTCCTTTCCTTTCCCTGCATCTCTCATCGCCCTTCCCTGCCTCCCTTCCTCCCCTCTTCTCTTCGCCCCATCCCAGGTGTATCAGTGCCTTCTCCACACACCCTTGCTGCGGGACCATGTGCCCTCCGCGTGCTTGCACACGAAGGACATGTGGCTCGCCGAGTTCGCAGGAGCGCGAGACGGACGAGGATGATGAGGAGGAGGCGGAGGAGGAGGAGGAGGAGTAGGATGACGATGATGCTGCTGCTGATGATGAGGACGATGATGCTGATGCTGATGCTGATGCTGATGCTGATGATGATGCTGATGTTGATGATGAACATAATGATGACGATGATGATAACGATGATGTTGATGCTGATTATGCCGATGCTGCTGCTGATGAGGCTGACGATGTTGATGTTGCTTACGATGATGCTGATGATAATGCTGATGATGCTGATAATGATGATTTTGATTATGATGTTGATGCTGATGTAACTTATGATACTGATGACGATGATGATGCTCCTGATGCTGCTGCTGCAGATGATTATATTGATGATGACGATGATGATGATTATGCTGACGATGATGATGCTGATGAAGGGGGATGACGATGATGATGATGATGCTAGATGTGAAGATGATGCAGATGACGATGCTGAGGATGCTGATGCTTATGATGATGAGGATGATTATGATGACGCTGATGATGATGAGGTTGCTGCTGCTGCTGCTGATGATGCTGATGATGATGATGATGGTGCGGTTGATGATGCTGATGATGCTGATGATGCTGATAATGACCAGATGATGCCGATGATGATGTTGATGACGATGATGATGTTGATGTCGATGCTGATTATGATGATAATGATACTGATGATGATGCTGATGAGGATGATGCTGCTGATAATGATGCTGATGCTGATGATGATGCTAATGCTGATGCTGCTGAAGATGATGATGCTGATGCTCATGCGGATGCTGATGACGACGCTTATGAGGACGATGATTATGATGATGCTGATGCTGATGATGATGTTGATGCTGCTGCGGATGATGCTGATACCGATGATGATGACGATGATGACGATGGTGGTCATGAGGTTGATGTTGATGATGAGTAATAATAAAATATATTAATCATGTTGATGCTTAGGATGATGCTGTTGATGACGATACTGATGATGCTGTTGATGATGATGTGAGTGATGACGAGGATGATGGTGATGATGCTGATGCTGATGATGATGATGATGACGATGATGATGATGATGATGATGACGATGCTGATGATGATGATGCTGATGATGATGATGCTGATGCTGATGATGATGATGATGAGGATGCTGATGATGCTGATGATGATGATGATGATGATGCTGATGCTGATGCTGATGCTGATGATGATGATGATGATGATGATGATGATGATGCTGATGCTGATGATGATGATGATGATGATGTTGATGCTGCTGATGCTGATGATGACGATGCTGCTGATGATGATGCCGACGATGATGACGATGAGGATGAGGATGAGGAGGATGATGACGCGGATGCGGATGATGAGGAGGAGGATTGGAAGGAGGAGGAGGCGGAGGATGAGGATGATGCTGATGCTGAAGCTGATGCTGATGCTGATTATGATGATGATGACGATGATGCCGATGACGATGATGCTGATGATGCTGATGCTGATGCTGATGCTGATGATGATGATGATGATGATGATGATGATGATGATGATGACGATGATTCTGATGGTGATGCTGATGAAGATTATGATGAGGAGGAGGTGATGATGAGGAGGATGAGGAGCAGGAGGAGGAGGAGGTGAATGAGGAGGATGACATGATGTCGATTAGGGGATGGAGGAGGGGGACGAGGAGGAGGAGGAGGAGGAGGAACGCAAATATGGGGTGGAGGTGGGGCCGTGAAGGAGGTCGTGAAGGAGGAGAGGGTTGAGGTGGAGGAAGTGCAGGTCGAGAAGGAGGAAGAGGAGGAGGAAGAGGAGGAGGAGGAGGAGGAGGAGGAGGAGGATGAGGAGGTCGTGGAGACAGAGGGGCAAGGGGAGGAGGATGATGAGGACGAGGAGGAAGGGCAGGAGGAGGAGGAAGAGGAAGAGCTGCAGGGTGATGGTGATGATGATGATGATGATGATGATGATGATGATGGTGGTGGTGATGCTGCTGCTGCTGATGATGCTGTCGATGATGAGGATGCTGAAGATGATGAGGATGATGATGGTGACGATGCTGATGCTTTTGAGGCTGATGATTATGATGCTGATGTTTGTGATGACAAAGGTGATGCTGATGCTGATGATGATGTGGATGATGATGTTGATGATGATACTGATGATGACGGTGATGATGCTGGTTGTGGTTGTGGTGATAGTAAGGATGATGTTGTTGATATAGTTGATGCGGATGATGCTGATGATGCTGGTGGTGAATGTGATGGTGATGGTGATGGTGATGGTGATGGTGATGATGATGATGATGATGATGATGATGATGATAATGATGATGATGATGATGATGATGATGATGATGATGATGCGATGAGATGAGGATGAGGATGAGGATGATGATGCTGATGATGATGATGATGAGGATGATGATGATGATGATGATGCTGATTATGATGATGATGATGTGATGATGATGATGATGATAATGATGATGATGATGCTGTTGACGATGATGGTTATGAGGATCATGATCATGATAACAGCGAAATTATGATTGTAAGGAGACTGAGCAGCAGTAGGATAAGCAGGAGGAGGAGGAGGAGGAGGAGGAGGAGGAGGAGGATAATGATGATGATGATGATGATGATGATGATGATGATGATGATGATGATGATGATGAGGAGGAGGAGGAGGAGGAGGAGGAGGAGGAGGAGGAGGAGGAGGCGGAGGAGGAGGAGGAGGGGGAGGAGGAGGAGGAGGAGGAGGAGGAGGATGAGCGCGCCTGTCTTCGCGACGGCGGTATACGTCATGTAGGGCCTGGCGCAGGGCATGTGCACTCGAGGCTTCGTCGTTTGCCAATGACTTTCGGGCGCAAGCTTTGGTAAGGATTCGGAGGAGAAATATTAGATACCAGGCGTCGGAGCAGCATCAGCGGCAACAGCGGACCGTCTCTGTTGCCTACTTCTTTGTGATACAGCGTCGGATGGACGTTCGCGCTTTGACACGTGTTGACCTTACCTTGCCTTCCCATGCCTACCCCTCCTTCTCTGTTCCACATTGCGCAACCAGCCATGTCTCGAGGAGCCTTTGCATACCTCAGAAAGGTGCAGTTGTGCACGTCGACTCCCGCTTCTTATCGTGACGTTTCTTTTTTCACTGCGGTCGTAGCCAATGCCGCTGCTGATACTATTCGCGTGTTCGCGGCGCTTTCTCTTCCACGTCTGTTTCCTCCTCGTGCTCCTCCCGTTGTTCCTCCCTTGTTCTTTCAAACGTGCCGATGCCAATTTTCACAGCTTAGCCCTCCTCGTCGCAGGACTGTACAGGCTTGTGGACGAGGCGAGAAGACGGAAAGCCAGCTGTGTGGATCCGCCCAAGATCCTCAGCAGGACCGCGCGATGCCGAGGAGGAGTGCCCGAGGAGCAGGAAGACCTTCTCTTCTATCCATTCTGCTCTCCCTCCTCCAGACCTGCCCTCTCTTTTCTCCTTCCCGTTCCGCCCTTTCCCTTTTGCCTCGCCTCTCCTCCGCTTCCCTCTCCATCCCGCTGCCCATCCCCTCCCCCCGCCCTCCTCTTCGCTCACCCCTCCTCTCCTTCTCTCCCCTCCACCTTCCCCCCGCCTCTCTTTTTGCCTTCCCTGCCCTCCTCTTTCTTTTTGTGGCCCCTGCCCGCGAGTGCCGGCATGGCCTTCCAAGGCCCTTGCATCCCTACCGTGCGGCCTCATTTCGAGGGAGGAAAAACCACCCCGACCCGACAATTGGCGTTTCCTCAACGGCCCTGGGCGTTCACTAAACAGCCCTGCCTTGTCCGATTCCTTCTTTGGGTGCGTTTACTAAAAGGCTTCGCTTGTCGGGGTGGTTGTGATGGGGCTTCTTCGTCGGCGTGCGCGCGACGAAGAAGCCCCAAGCCAGTGGGCACTGCAAAACCGTCTAGGACAATCTCAGCACACTTTTCTTTTCACGTCGGCGGCTAGGCGGAGTCACTGTGCTGAGGGAGCGCACAATCTCAACACACACGGGAGCGCAAGCGTAATCGGGACAATCCCGACGCACGTGAGCGCAGACAGGTCCGCCAGAGTGAAGCAGCATGCCTTGCTCTGCTGCCGCCCCTCGCTCCCTTGTCTGGCACGGCCCCCCACGGTTTTGCCATCGAGCTTCGGCTGCAGTTTCCGGGCCCTTCTCTTTCTGTTGCCGTTTGCGGATGGCGGATTTGGAGCTTGCTTCTGTTCGCCATTCGGTGCTTTTGTGAAGCTGTGAAGGTTCCCAGCATTTGTGATGCATCAGTGCGGCGCGAACGCGACACACAAGTACCCTCTCATGCGGCCGACGGTGTTTTTCCACTCGTCCCTGGCGCGTGAAGTGCAGCGAGCGTCTTCCTCTGGTTCGCTCTCCCTAGCCGTTTAACTTTTTTTTTGGGTCCCCCGGCAACGGTAAGTCAAACAGATGTGCTGGAGCGTGCTTCCTCTTTGCTTCTCTGCCCGAGACTTCCCGCGCCCCCCCGCGGCGGCGTCCTCTGCAGGCGCCACGGCCGGGTGGCCGTCCGTCGGCGGCGATGCGATGGGGGGAAGTGAGCAGCAGAAGGCCTTCTCAGAGGCCGGCGGGGGACTTCTCGGAGGCGCTCCGGCCTGCTGAGAGGGGTTCTCGTTGCCTTCGGGGAAGCATGGACTATGGAGAACTTCTCAGAAGGCCGGGGGGACTTCCGAGCCTCCGAGAAAGCGCGCCCCGTCTCCCTCACAGATCCCCCCGGGCTCGCCGCCGACCCGCCGCCTGCCAGGGGCGGGCGGGGGACTGGAACCGCAGGGCTCCCTCGGTGGGGGCTCCCTCGGTGGGGGCTCCCTTGGTGGGGGCTCCCTTGGTGGGGGCTCCCTTGGTGGGGGCTCCCTTGGTGAGGGCTCCCTTGGTGTTATGATGTTCCAACCTACAGAAAGGATGTCGAGCACCAAGAAAGCACCGAAACAGGAGGGTTTGCACGCGTCGGGCCCTGGGAGGCGATACTCGTTCGACGCTGTTTCGCTCGAAGTTCTTTCTGGGATGTGGTCCTCAAGTACGATGGGAACAACATAACCTTGGTGGTCCAAGTGGCCTCTCGGTGGGGGTGGAGGGCTTCTCTGAAGGGCTTAGCCGACCCGTCCTCCTCCTCTCTCTCCTCCTCCTCCTCCTCCTCCTCTCCTGCTCTCCTCCTCCAGCCTCCCCCTCCTTCCTCTCCTTCCTCATCCTCCTCCTCCCCTCCTCCTCCTCATCCTCCTCCTCCCCTTCTCCTCCTCCCCTCCCTCCTCTTCCTCTCCTCCTCCCCCTTCTCCGCCCCCTCCCCCCCCTCTTCTCCTCCTTCTCCTCCTCCTCCTCCCCCTCCCCCTCCCTCCCCTCCACCTCCTCCTCCCCCTCCTCCCCCTCATCCTCCTCCTCCTCCTCCTCCTCCTCCTGCTCTTCCTCCTCCTCCTGCTCCTTCTCCTCCTCCTGCTCCTCCTCCGCCTCCTCCTCCTCCTCTCCTGCTCGGGTCGCCTTCGGCCGTGGGGGAAACCGTGCATCAGTGGCCCCTTGGTGGGGCCGCCAGCATACCACCCGAGTGCGCGAGGCGATGGGGGCGTACTAATAATAAGAAGTATAATGATAATACTAGTAACAACAAAAACAATGCAAATACGAATCATAACAAAACGACGAATAATCATACTCATATTAATGCTACTGTCAGTAATCGTATTCTTTTATTCGTAATATGGGCAATAGGAATAGTCACATTAATATAATCCGAATACTGCTACTACGACTAATACCAATCATAGTAATCATAGTCATAATCGTCAGAATTCTGATAGTCGCAATCATACGGATGATGGTATTCATGATAACGACAACTGCATTAACACTAGTATTACTAGTACTAATAATTGTTATTTTGCGGATAACACTTGTAATATTGATAATACGACCACTACTACTACTACTACTACTACTACTACTATTACTACTACTACTACTATTACTACTACTACCACTACTACTACTACCACTACTACTACTACTACTACTACTACTACTACTACTACTACTACGACTACTTACTACTACTACTACTACTACTACTACTACTACTACTACTACTACTACTACTACTACGACTACTACTACTACGACTACTACTACTACTACTACTACTACTACTACTACTACTACTACTACTACTACTACTACTACTACTACTACTACTACTACTACTACTAACTGTACTACTAACTACTACTACTACTACTACTACTACTACTACTACTACTACTACTACTACTACTACTACTACTACTACTACTACTACTACGACGACTATTACTACTACTACTACTACTACGACTACTACTACTACTACTACTACTACTACTACTACTACTACTACTACTACTACTACTACTACTACTACTACTACTACTAATACTACTACTACTACTACTACTACTACTACTACTACTACTACTACTACTACTACTACTACTACTACTACTACTACTACTACTACTACTACTACTACTACTACTACTACTACTACTACTACTACTACTACTACTACTACTACTACCTCCAGCGGGCCATCGCGGGCCGTGGCCGCCAGCGCCTCCGGCGCAGGCGCCGTCGGGCCGGTGGGAGAGCCGGGCTCCGCGGTCGCCATCGGTGGCGGCCCCTGCGGAGGCGGCTGGGCCAGCCGCCGCTCCCGCCCGCTCGACTCCCGAGTTGGGGGGCGAGCTGACCCCGCCGCTGGCCGAAGGGGCCGCGGCTGGGGCAGCCGCTCCGCCGCCGGCGGAGCCCGCGGGCGCCGAGGCGCCGGCGCAGCAGGCGGGCAGCGCCGTGGGCTGGGCCCCGGCGTGGCGCCCGCACCCAGCGCTCGGGCTCGAACGTTGGGCCCCGCGCGCGCCGCTCGTGCACCTGTGGCTCCCGCCAGTGCAGCTGCACGAGAGCGGGCCGCCTGTGCGGGCCTGCGCGTGGTGCGGCGGGCGGCTGGGCGAGGCCCCCGCGTACCCGCTCGGCTCGCACGACCTCGTGGTGCTGGGCTGCGAGCTCTGCTGGACGCTGGGGCGGGCGCTGCAGAACGCGCACCGCGCGCCATTCACGCCTGGCGAGCGCCGGGCCGCCGTGCCGCTGGCCGAGCACGTAGAGGCCATCGTGGCGGCCCTGGCTGGCCTCGCGGACGTGCCTCCGCCTCTGCCTGCGGCGTGAGGGACGCCGCCGAAGGGGCGAGCGGGGGCGGCTGCCGGGCGTGGGGGGCGCGGGCGTGGCCGCGGGCGCGGTGGAGCAGGGCGAGGAGCGGACGCAGCTCATGGCGCGCGGGGCCGAGGTGCTGCCGCTGCCGCTCCCGCGCCGAAGTGGGCCCCGCGCAGCCGGCGGGCCGGGGCAGTTCGTCCCCCTGGCCGCGGGAGCGGCAGGTGCTGGCGCGGCCGGCGCGGCGGGCGGCCTCCCCTGCGGCGGAGGCGCGGCGGCCGCCGCGGGCTGGCGCGCGGAGGCGCGCTGGATCAGCGGGCCTCAACCCTGCCGTGGTAGCTGCTGCGCAGGCTGGCGGAGGCAACCCTCAGGAGCTGGCCGCGGGGCTGGCGCAGATGGCGAGGGGCCTCGGCGCGGGCCTCAACTGGCAGCGCATCGCCGCGGCCATGCAGGCCATGCAGGCGGGCGGCGCTCCCGCGGCCGGAGCACCTGCACAGCTCGGGCTCTGGGCTCAGCTCGCTGGAGCCCTCGCCGCCCCGGGAGCTGCTGGCATGCCCGGCCCCGCGGGGCTAGGGGTCCGGCTGCTGCCGCCAGGGCTTGCTGGGGCTGCCGCGGCGCAGCCAGCGGTGGCGGGGCTTCAGGCCGCAGGCGCGGTAGGTGCTGGAGTCGTCGCTGCAGACGGCGCATGGGTCGGCAAGGGGCTGCAGCCGCAGGTGCTGGCTCAGGCGGCACTCGCGACGGGCAGCATCATCGAAGTGCCGACGCACGACGACGCGCTGGCGGTGACCGTCACAGCGCTGCTGGAGCTGGGAACCATCTGGGCCGCGGACGCTCTCTCGGCTCCTTCGCCACCGCCGTGTTCGGCGGCGCGTCGACGCCCGTCAGCGCGCTGCAGTTCGAGCAGGCTTGGGGTGCCGACTGTGGAGCTCCGCTGGTTCACCTTTGCTCCAGTCCTCGCGAGGGGGGCCGGGCAGTGGCGGGCGCGCACTCCGTGTGCCACGTCGACGTGCTGCGCGTGAGGAGCCCCTTGCTGCTCGGCGAGGCGTGGGTCCGCCCTGCTGCCCTGCTGGGTGCTGCCCCTGCGGGGGATGCCCGCGCGGACCCGCTCAGCGAGGTGAGGTCCAAGGCTGCGCCAGGGGCGAAGGTGGTGCAGTTGAAGCAGGCCCTCAAGCGGCGTCGCGAGGGGCATGCCGACCTCTTCGCCGC